TGATATTCTGTTCTTTTTGCTCTGTTACTTGCCTCTCACACTGCTTCATGAAGGTCTCCTGGTTCTGCTGCGGCTGTTTCTCTGCCTCTGCTTCTCATTGTCTACATTATCTTTGCTGTTACCACTCTCCCCGCTTCTGAGTTATCACCAGAATTACTTTTGATGCCCATAATTCCACCACCAGTCTCTTCAAGTTCTTCAAAGTAATCTAGTAAACTTTTATTATTATGGACATTAAAACTCTCCCAGCTCTACTGGAATTACTCAATGCAAAAATTGCTTCTACATCTTCGGTACCTGTTAGAGCAGCACCTCTCTCTAGAGGAAGTAGCTTACGTTGCTGTAGAAGTTGGCAAGTCCAGAGCCTGGGGTTTAGACATCAGGGTGGTGGCTTCTCCTCACTTACACAGCGGTGAACCGACAAACTCCAGATCAGCAGACAATGAGCAGGCTTCTGGCTCAAATCCCAGGAACTGGAGGACAGATGGCAACGAGATGGCTGCAGGATCCAGAGTGAGCAAAGGGTCAGAGTGCTTGGCCAGAATGCCCATCTATATTGCACGTATATCATAACCACCAGGAAACTCCTTTTCAACTGGTCGGCTAGGCCTAAGAGATCTACTCATGGAAATAATCACATTGTATCAGACCACAAAATGGAGGATGACGACATTATCACATAACTGCCAAACTAGAGTGTAACTGCCAAATCACTACAAATCATGGCCCAGTCAAGTTGACATACAACCTTAACCATCACAATACAACAGGGATTAGAAAAATGAGTGAAGAACAGGAGACATGAAATCTGGACTTGACCTTGGATGTGTGACCTTGATTAAGACATTTCTCCACTCCAGACCTCAGTTTCTTTGTCTTTAAAATGATGCTGTTTGCCCTGCCTCCCATGAAGAACAAGTTCCTGTTTATTCATTTCCTCCACATCCGTGGTTGCACTCCAACCCCCAGCACCATCTCGGTTCCGGGAAGAGAATGGTGAGCAGGAGAGACAGACCTGGAGCTTGCCTTCTAGAAATCAGCATGAAATTGCTTTATTTACAAAGCTGTGAAGAACTTTGTAAATATTAGGAAATAGGGTTATTTATTTACCAACCTACTCTCATCTGACTCTCGGCAACAAAAGATCCAATTAAATTGGCTGCGTTCCTCCACTTACACAAATGAGCTTCTTTCATAATTAGATTTTATTTACCTCACTGGAGCTTCATATTAGTATGAAGGACTAATCACAGTTGGACTCTTCCTATTACTTCTCAGGGCAGAAGTCATGGATTTATGAATCAGAAACACCTTCTTTTGCAAACTCTATTGTTTGGTTTGGGTTAGAACCCAGGTGAGCCCAGGAGCGATGCAGGCCCATGACTCTGGGACATTGGCCCACCTGCAACACATGCTTAACAGTACTGGCCATTGTCCTCATGCCTAAGGTCTGAAATGGCGATGGGAGGATTTGAATTTTCCCATACACATTTTTAAAAGGCACGTGTATCTTTTGTGAATCGACCAAGGAGAGAAATAACAATGATGAAAAAGGAGCCTGATAATATTCTGATTCAAGGACTGCTGGTCAGCTTCCATTTCGAATGAGTCAGCACGTGGGTGACCACTCCTCTGAGGCTAGAATGTTTCCTGGAATCCTGTTGATTTTCATCCACCCACCCCAGCATCTGAAAGGTCAGGCGCCATCCTGACTTCTAACATTGCTGGATGGACCAGAGGGATGGTCTCTCTGCTCCCCACCTCTTCTGATTTACTGACTTGCAGTGGTGCTTCATTCATTTATTTTTAATCAAGATAGAAACCATATACTATACAATTCCATGGGCTTTTGTTTATCTACAAGGTTGTCTTTTCTTTGTTTTGCTTCCTTTGCGCCTCCCCCCCCCCCCCCCTTCATTTCCTAGGGGCATGGATGGACTACTCACGCATTCATTGATTCAGTACATCATTTCTGAACTAGTTGTGAGAGTTAGATGTTTTTGTCTACTGCCAACTTGGGGGGGCCAGGATTCTCCCATGAAATGATCTAGCATAGTGTGGTCAACTCCATAATGGTTTCTTCTGTGAAGTAGTCAAGTCACTGTGGGTAAATTAGACCTCCTTCGTCACGTCACAGCCTGATCCAATTGAGGGAGGTTCCATTCAGGTGTGGCTTACTCAGTAAAAATCGACAGTGTGTGGAAGGTAGCCCACTTCTGCTGAATTTGTTACTTCATAATGGAGATTAAAAAATATATACAGTGAAGCCTCGCCACTTCACGCTTCGACTTCCGCGGCTTCACTCTATCGCGGTTTTTGCGTAACAGCGCATGCTCTGTCATTACTGCCACTGATTGGCTCATACTGTACACGCTTCTGTCTGCATCGCTACATATCGGAGCTACGTATCAGATGCATTTTTGCTTTTGTACAGTGTACTGTAATTGTTTGCGATTTTTAAGAAATTTTATCTAAGCCTTATGATGGCTCCTAAATGAGCTGCTTCTTCTAAGCCTTCTGACAATAAAAATAAGCGCCAGAGGAAGATGCTCACCATCCAGGAAAAGGTAAAACTTTTGGATATGATCAAAGATGGCAAGAAAATCGTGGAGGCTGCACACCATTTCGACTTGAATGAGTCTTCCGTTCGCTCCATCCGTAAAGAGGAAAAAAACATCCGTGCTACGGCTACTCCTCCACTCAGAGTGTGGGGACAGGAGTCCCATGGCTCTCCAGGAGGCGGTCCCCAGGGTGGATGCCATTGCCATTGTTGGAACAGATAGGAACAGAATGCCATTGCCATTGTTGGAACAGTTGACTTGCACTTGCACTGGGGTGGCGTCGTTGGAGCAGGTGCTCTCTACAGTCACAGAGAAGCCCCGGCCACCCTGGGCGGTGGCGGGCATGGAGACGACCGTGACGGAGTAGGGTGGCTGGTCCTGCACAGACTCCGTGGAGAGTCTCTCGAATATGGGTGCCAGCACCCCCACGTTGTAGCATTTCCCACAGGAGAGGGCAGCATGCTGCACCAGGTGTCCGCGTCTCCATCCTCGCCGCGCACCTTGCAGCTCAGGCAGGCCAAGCACTCTGTGGGGTCCTTGAGCTCACGCCACCATGGCGGGCCTGTCATCAGCAGGGAGCATCCGTGACAGAACTCCCCAAACTTCCCCACGCAGTCTTTGTGGCAGTAGAGTTGGCCATCCTTCTCATAGTACCAGTGAGCTTGCTCGCATTGTGAACACTGAAAGGGGTCTCTGGAGGTAAAGTACGCAGGGACCGACAAGTAACACCCCATCTTCTTCCCATACCAGATCACCAAGTTCCGCTGCAAATCCGTCTGGGGGTGCCTCCGGCCAGCTGCGCACAGCCACCATGACAGGTTGGGGCTCCTGGCACCTCTGGCTGCTGGTGGGCTGCCCAGCGCTCACCTTGCCCTCTGGAACAGCTTGAGCAGCGGGAGGACCCTGGGCCACTGACCCCCCAGCAGATGCCTGAGGGGGCTCATGGCTGGGGTGGCTCCTCCCCAGTTCTCAACACTTTGCGTGGCCCTTCGGGAGGGTCTCCGGGTCTCCCCTTCTCCACCAGGCTGCCAGCACACATGCATTCTTGGGCAGGGGCTGGCATCTCGCTGAGAAAGAGGGGCTGCTCAAGACCCCCTGCTCTAAACCAGTGGTTCTCAACCTTGGCTGCACATGGAAACTACTTGGGAAATTTTGTTTTTAAATCTTAATGCCTCGGACCTACCTCAATAGATTTTTGACTCAGAAGGAGTGGGGTGCAGCCTGGGCATCAGGGCTTGTGGAAACTCCTAGTTGAGACAAAGAGGTGACCGTGTTGGAGAACCACAGCTCTGTAAACTCTCCTTACACTCTCTCCTTGGCCTCACAGCTCTCACGGTAGGGTTATTTGGGTCCACGCATATTTTCCCACTTCTTTTAAACTATAAACCTTTTCAGAGCAAGGCCTGGTTTTTGAAATTCAATTTTTATCAGCCTGTCCCTCATATTCAGCCATAGAATAAACCAACCTAACCCACTGCTTTCGATTCAATTCCAACTCACAGCGACGCCCGGCGCTAGAGTAGAACTGCTGCACATGATATCCTTGGCTGTGACCTTTATGGAAAGGAGCCCTAGTGGCACATGGGTGAAGTTGTTGGCTCTGCAGGATAAAGATGTCTCTGTCTACGCACCTAAACTGCCCAACCTAGAAAACCCCATCCAGGCAGCTCTGCCCCTTCACCTGGGGGTGCTACGCATCGGGATCCACACAGAACAACCACCTTTACAGCTGATCTCAAGTCTGTCCTTTCCTCCGCTGCTCTGCTGGGTGGATTTGAGCCACCAACCTTGAGCAATCAGGCACACATCAACCACACAAGCCCAGAGCCCAGCCCTGTCATGGTCGATATTTATCAAAAGGATGACGAACGCCTTATTGACCTATTATCTGGAAAATATTCACCTTTCCATAACAGAAGGGTCGGTTTGTGCTAATTTGAAGACTGGTGCCCTGGCCGTGTTATGGTTTTGCACTGGCCTGCGATGCTCAGGGTTGGCAGTTCGAAGCCACCAGGGAGAGAGAAACCACTGAGGGAGAAAGGCAGGGCTTTTTATTTCCACTAGCTGTTACAGTCTGGGAAATCCACAGAGGAGTCCCTAACAATCGGTAGCACCCCACTGGCAGTGAGTTTGGCTTGGGTTTTCGGTTGAGCATAAAGGCCAAGTCTCTGAAGGACAGGGGGCTGGTGGCCAGGATGGGTGTTTCCACTGAGAATAGTTTCCCCAGGAGCCGGCAAGCCCCATAGCAGCCATCTCCAAGAGCCACGTAAAGAAAGCATCCGCTTGGACTCCGAGGCTCCAGAGGGCAATGAAAAGCTGAGCCGCCCATAACTCCCCCACCCCCCCTCCCCCGCACACACACACACACTCACACACTCCGCATCCCATTCAGAACCTCACGGCTAAAATATGATGATGTTATTGTTTCTTCCTCTCCAGGGCGCCATTCGGAAATTTATGGGGATTGTTGTTCGCACTATGAAGGCATCTGTTATTGAAATGTTCCTTGGTAAGTACTTTTATATGTGTATCTGGACACTCTTTTAACATTTTCCGAAGGCCCATAGAAACAGCCTAGGAAAGTGTTAAACCAAGGCAGAACATATAAATAACACGATGTCTCTCTGTACAATAAACATGGTGGAGGGACGTTCAGGTGAGAATGTTTTATGTGACTTCAACCTTTGGTAGGGCATGTGTATGTGTGTGTGTATATGTATATATATATGTATATATGTAATATGAAAGCATATATACAGAGGTAAGTCAAAACATATTGCTATAGAATCATAGAAACCTTTCTTTTACTACGCAAAAATTCTCAGACATGGGAAGCATTTGTCTCTCACTGTTTCCTCCATCCAGGTCTATACACTTCTCTAACTCTTCCCCAAAGAACTCGGCGCTATTTGATTTCTACCGTCAAAACGGCAGTTTGGGCTTCCTTGAAGGACTAGAACTGCGTTTCTTTTACATGTTGTTTTTGCGTTTGGGGAACAGAGGCCGTCTGCAGGGGCAGGATCAGGGGTGCAGGAGGGTGAGGTCATGTTTTCCAGTCATCTCCTCTTAGACAGCCCCTCGGAAAACCAGCTCATGATGGAAAAACATCCTCAACCCAGCTCGCCTGACCTTTTCCTCCCGCCCCCAGTTTTCCACTTTCTTACAGCATATTCATAAGAAGCCTCCACGATGGACCTGTGCCCTCAGGAAAAACCTATTGAACTCACCCCTTTGGAGTCTCACAAAACGCACAACTCGCTGAGCTGACCTCTCAGCCTTGAATTAATCGCTGAGGTCTTCCTGAACCTCCTTAAAACACTTGACCCATTTAAAATCTGGAGTTTCGTTAGAAATTAAGTATGATTCCTGACCTCAAAATCAGTTGTTGCTGTTTTTAAATGAAGACACCTTAGTAAGACCAAGACAAAGGTATCGTGGAGGCACCTTCTCCGCAGCCGTCACTGATCACAGACACACGTCTAAACACAACTGGTTTGGAATAAGCCTAGGTATGCATGATCTAGAACTGTGTTAGTCTGGGTTGACTAGAGAAACAAATCCATAGACACTCATGTGTATATAAGAACAAGCTTTATATAAAAGAGCAATTGTATATTAAGAAAACATCCCAGCCTGGTCCAGATCAAGCCCATAAGTCTGATATCAGCCCATATATCCGATGCCAATCTATAAATTACTCTTCAGACTCATGCAACACATGCAGTGATGCTAAATACAGGAAGATCACAGGCCAGTGGGTGGAGAGTCTAGTGGATCCAGTAGTGGTAGAAGCATCTAGCAGGAGTCTTCACGTGGCTCCTCCAGCTCCACGGCTCTGGCTCCATCAGTGTAGCTCCATGTGACTTGTCACCAGGAATGTCTAACAGAGAGTGTATGTCTGGCCTCCAGTGAGTTACGTATCTCCATTGCACCTCCACATGAGGTCATCAAGCTGTGACCTGATTGACAGGCTAAACGCCACCCCTTAACTCTTAATAGTCTCAAGTTAACACCAGATTATGTAACTTCCATAAGAACCCTAATGGCAATACTTTTTTACCTACTTGCATATGTATTACATGTGTGGCTCTCTTGTGGTATGTATACACAACCATGTGCATACAAATACACATGTGTCTATGTGTGTGTGTGGATTCAGCAAGTAGGAAATATTTTACATGGAGCAAATTTGCAGATGCTGAATTTAGGCATCTTTTGGTTTCTTAGGAGGTCTGGTTATGTGTTGGGCTGCAATCCACAAAGTCGGCAGTTCAAAACCACCAGCCACTCTGAGGGAAAAAGACAAGGCTTTCTACTCCTGTAAACCGTTCACATTCTCAGAAACTCACAGGGTAGTTAGTTCTACCCTGTGCTATGTGAGTTGCCAGGAGTCAGCATTGACTGGATGGCTGTGAGTTTGGTTTTGGGGTGTTTTTGTTTGTTTCTTATTTAATTTTCCAAATCCACGCGCACACACACACACACACACACACTGAATAGACCTGGCCTTACTTGTACCTTTGGCAGCTCACACTTGTAAAGATAAAACACTTCAAACATATCCACTATCACCAGAGAAGAATACATTTTACCCTGTCCTTGAGGAGCCATGGGTAGCTAAGAAGTGAGGGAAGGGCTGAGCTAAACTCCTGGGCGAACCTCGGCTAATCCTGGCCCAGCAGCGGCTCGACCTTGTCAAGGACGGTAGCCCTGTGGGTCCTTGTGAAACCATCCCCAGGGGAGGGTACAAAGGCCCTTTAGGTAGTCGGCATGTCCAAGGGGCTGCACAGGGAATAAGGAGACTGCCCAGCAGAAAAAGCCACACCAGCCAAACTCCCTGCCATCAAGTCAATGCTGACTCTTAGCCACCCTCCAGGACAGAGGAGACCTGCGCCTGTGAGGCTCCATGCCGCACAGTGGCGGTAACAAGAAGCCTGAGGAGGAAGGAGGAAGGCGCACTGGACCGGAAGTCAAGGAGGAAAGGTCCTAGTCCTGCCTCTGCCACCCATGTATTGATTCGAGCAAGACTCTCCCCCTCTGCTTTTGTGAATTACTGTGCTTGACTTATTAACCACCCAGTCCTAAAAATGAATGTAACGGCCAGATAAGTAGAACAGCTCTGTTAAGTCACCCTCTTGTTTCTTAGCTAAGCCACCCTCTCCTGTTGCCAAAGATATACCAGTTGCCATTCAAGTACCATATATACTCGAGTATAAGCCAACCTGAATACCAGCGGAGGCACCTAATTTTACCACAAAACCTACTTAAAAAACGTGCTGAAAAATTCGGTTTATACATAAGTGTCTACGGTAACTCCTGGTGGCCTAGGATGTGGCAGAGTAAAACTGAGCTCTCTAGTGGTTTTGATGGTTGACTTTTTGATAGTAGCTCATCAGGTCTTTCTTCTGGGCTTCTTGGTAAACTCCAACCCTCAGCCTCTCAGTTAGCAGCCCAGCTTGTTACTACTAGTGCCACCCCCTCCCCTTCTCACCCAGGGAGCCACAGATAAGGGCACTAATAACGTGTTGGCGTACACTGTGCAATATCAATCAAACCTTCTCACTGGCATCTTTTCCTGGTCTATCTCAGGAGGCCAAAATTTTGAGGGGGTTCTCAATGCCTTGGATAGGAGCCCCCCCCAAACATACATCCTCTCTTGCTGTTGTCCTTAAAGACTGGGCATGGTCTAAGGTTCAGGGGTCCTGGCACCACATATACCATTTGTCAGCTGCCCTACTTGCCTTAGCCCAACTGGGGAACTCTCCCTTCAGAAACAAAGAGTCCTTCCTCTCCACCTTGCCCCTTCAGGGGGGCTAGCTCCTCTCCCATCCAACCTGCAGGAAGTAGAATTCTAACAAAGGGCAATGACTGGGAGTAGGGAGGACATGGCTAGCACAAAGCAAAACGAATCAAGCAAACATTCGGAGCCCATTCCCTGCTCTACCACGTCTCCCAGAACCAAGAAGAGAGATTTGGCTGCCCTTCCTTGTCCTCCCCACCCCATTTAGCCTGCCCTCCTCAAAACTCATTTCTCTTCAGATTTGTTCATTCACAAAGCAAGAAATTAACATGGAAAAAGACACACACCCATACACCCTATTCATAAACTATGTCTCTAAATCCTCACATGTCTGCCTCCCAGCAAAGCTCTCATCCTCCCATTTAAGCCCACCCCTAGAACCCTCCCCTGGGCACTGCCACAACCTCCCAGCTCCAACCTTTCCCCCCTGAGTCAGCTCCTCCTCACCTGATGAATCTCCCCAGTACACAGTCCATCCCACTGTTATGAATCTCCCCAGCACACAGTCCATCCCACTGTTATGAATGAATCTCCCCAGCACACAGTCCATCCCACTGTTAGGAATGAATCTCCCCAGCACACAGTCTATCCCACTGTTATGAATGAATCTCCCCAGCACACAGTCCATCCCACTGTTATGAATGAAGCTCCTCAGCATTTTCCCTTTGCATGTGCCATGGGTCCCGAGTTTCTTAAAGTGCCGTGCTTCCTTGATCAGCTTCTTCCTGTCCTTGCCTGTTTTCATCGCGTACCCCAGCCCTTACCTTGGCACTGAAGGGCTCGCTTTCCTGGGAGTTGTCGTCCTCACCTCCAGGCCTCTGAGCATGCTGTTCCTTCTCTGGGAATGCTCTCCTCCCCTCAGCCCACACACCCACATCTGCACAGTTGGGCAAATCCCATCAATTTCCCAGGAAGCTGTGACCCTCTCCCTTCGAGTGATTGTCTCCCTAGGTGCTTCCTTGACACATGGCATTCACCTTCTCACCGGTCTGGCTTCTCCCAAGGACTCTAAACTCGCTGAGGGCAGGAGCACACCACCCTCACTGTTGTAGCTCCAGTGCTCGGCACATTCCCTGGGCACTGGGTCAGGCTTGACACATCAATGATTGTTCCTAGGGACAAGATGCTGGATTTCTTAGGTACCCAGGCCATGCAAATGATCTCCAACGCCCTCTAAATTAACACCAATTAAATATTTATCAGAGCTAGCATATTAGGTTAAACTATGTTGACATTTATGCTGACGTGCGGTTTTAGGCTGCCCATGGTCATTAGAGTACCCGCATGATGAACGTGGGCACTTTGGGCAGCTAGTGGGATAAAGAGGCAAAGGTTGTAATCAGCAAACTTGGATTCCAGTGCCAGCTTCTGCCCCAAATAACTGCACAGGTCTAACTAAAGTATTAGCTGTGGCCTTGGTTTCCTTTCTATAAATGAAGGGGTGCTCCCCTAATCTCCTCCCAGACTTCACAGGAGATGATTCCTGGTTTATGAGATTCTAGAGAATCTGTTGTCATATCACTGCTAGGAAGCTCATCTGCAATTGGCCACAGAGGCTTCGTTGAGTACCTAACTCCAGACTAACGCACTGAGGAAGCTTGCCCCTCTCTAAGAGGATGTGCCTTGTATCTGGAAGCTTTGTGGACAGTACCTCTAGTAGCATATGAGGGTATCTACAAAGAAGTTTACAGGCTCTACAAACTCACTGA